CCCCATATATCTACAGTTTGGTACATCCCTACAAAAATAGCAAATCACTGCAATAATCAATTGGCATATTGTTACCATTTGAAACTCCGATACCCACAAATTCCTGGGAATAGAGAAAATACCATAAGCTAGCACTGGGATGGTAATTAATCAGGGCCAGGTGGCCCTCATTGAAGAAAACATTCCATATAGTGGGAGGGCAACATCCAAAAAAGTCATCTATTAGAGGTAGTACTAAGACAAAGTCCTCATGAAGACCCAATTATCAGGTTAGCAGGGTCTCCTGCATGGTAGCAGCATGTTTGACTTACTGACCAGGATCCTATTGGTATTCCCAACTAGAGTATACCCACTGAATCACTGGGTCTGATACAAGTGTTGACTCATCACTCAAGAACTGATTCAGTAGGTCGACTCTGGGGGGGACCTGCAACAAGACTTAAACCATTTTGCACAACTGATCATAGTATCATAATTTGGAGTCACTTAATATGGTCTAAGCCAGTGGTTCTTAACTTTTGTTACTTGGATGCTTTTGAACTGCAACTCCGAGAAACCCCAGTCAGGACAACTGGTGGTGAAGGCTTCTGGGAGTTGCAGTCCAAAACTCCTGAGTAACCCAAGGTTAAGAACCAGTGGTCTAAGCAACGTATTCACGAGGAGCCCAAACTTATAAATTTACAACTTGCTTCTGACATATGGTGATCCTAATAGGGACTACGAAGCATGTGAAATATTCCAGGTGTGATTTACCTTTGCCACACACATAAACCTTGTGAGTTTCCATGGCCAATCAGAATATTTGAATCCAAGCCTTCTGCATCCCAGCCCAACACTCTTTATTTACTACACCGCACTGATTCCACTTAGATGTTTAGTTGCTTTCTGAACTGTAGCTAATCCTCTTGCTTCCTTCCAAGCCTTTCCTTTTAAAACCACTCTTGGGCATCTGAATTTACTTTTGACTGCTCCTCACAGAAACAATAGTGCTGCTCAACTCTGTCAGCCCATTCTTCTTTAAAGCTGACAAATGTTCCCTGGAGTAGTTTGGAGGCTAACAAGACCACCAGCTGAACTGGATCCTGATCCTGAAACCAGTGCGCTTTTATCCTTTCATGATGACACAGAAAGCTTCTTAGAAAGCTGGCTGCTCCCTGGTAGGAAGCTGTGTCGACAGGACCCCAAGAGTGATGAAATCTGAGGTTCTAAGTATGCAACAATGCCCCTCCATTAAGAGATTAGCGACTCACTGGTGATTATGTAAGTCTACCTGGCCTCTTTCCAAGAGCTAAACAGCAGAATCAAACTACTGCTGCATCTATAACAATTTGATCTTCTTACTGCAGACTACAGTATATTGCAAGTCAAGCCTTGTAAAAAAGGAAGAAAATAAAGTTTTCATGTTGCAAGGAAGCCCCCAAGACACAGAGACCCTTGGCTGGAGGTGGGTGCCTCTCCCAGGAAACATGTTATTTGATCTGTTTTGGGGGTGCTCTGAGAAATGTCAAGCCTCCCTTTGTATCTTCAAAGAAAGAAGGAGTTCACATCAAGATTTCTAAATGAGCCCCATCATTCCACACTCCTTGACATCTCTCTGTAGTCTTTCAACACATGTGGAAGCCAGAAAGCCAGACCCATGTGAATGAAAGGATACATTCCAGAGTGAACCTGCCATTCCTTTGAACCTGCCATTCCTGTTGCTAGTGATACTGTTGATGTATCTCAGTGAGGCTATTCACTTTAGTCCTAGATGCTTTTAAAAAATAATTTTTTAAAAAACCTCTGCCTTATAATTCAAATAAGCAGAGGGCCTCTGTTTTTAAAATTCATCCCATTCATGCTTCCTCTTTCATTCCATAGAGCATGATCTTTTCACCTATTTGTTTAAATAATGTAGGTCATTACAACTTTTTGAACAGTACAGAATTAACATTCTTATAGACTTACGGAACTAGCAATGAAAGGAACAGAGATTCTGTTTAATCATCCCACTATTATACCTCAAGTCTGGAAAAGTTTGGCCTACAGTTCCCCAAATCCTCAAGCCAGAAGAACTGGGGAGATGCAATTCAAAAAAAGTAACTTTTGCAAGCTTTGTATGTAACTGCACTTCAGAGGTCACCTGGGGTGCTTAGTGCTAATCGAAGAGCACATGCTCTTCATCCATAACATCACAGGTTAAAAACACAGGAAACTGTCTTATATAGTCAGACTATAATGCTGCTTGGCCATTTTCCTTGTCTGCAACCTGCACTCAAGAAATAATGTACTATTTCCCCAACCCCTTCTTGTACACTTTTACAAATATAGATCAAATGTCTACAGCCTCCTACACTCATGGAAGTGCTCTTCAAGACATTAGAATCTCATTTTTCCATGAAATAAATAGGGTCTGGTTGAATAACTATCAAGGAATACCCCAGGTAGAGCGAAGGAAAAAATCCTACCTGAAACCAGGTGAACCCTAAACCTCCAGAGTGTCCAGAGGTCCCTTAATATTCCTTCAAATAACTTGCTGCCATCACCTGCTAATTTACAGAAGAGTGGCTGGACTCTCTCGTGAATAGATTTAGTTTCACCATTCAAAAGCAGCATATGAGATGAAGTCACCCAGGTCAGAAACCAAACCAGTTATATCAACAGACATATAATGACTGACAAGACAGAACGTACAGAACAAGTAATCAGCAGATGTAATATAAGAAATAACTTGTGACTACTGTATAAAGACATCAGCTCCATGACACAGTGGTAGACCAAGCATACTGTCATTCACCAAAGTTCCTGGATTCAGTTCTTAGTATTTCAAGGTTGGGAAAGGCTTCTTTCTGAAACCTAAATAAATTTGCCAGCAACTCATGTAGATGAGGAGTAGGCAATCCTTGACCCTCCAGATGTTTAAACTTTCATCAGCTTCACCCACTGGATGGCCAATGGTAGGTGTCCATCCAAAACACCTGGAGGTCCAGTGGTATCCACATCCCTGGTGTACTCCTCCCAGAATTACTGTCTTTTCCAGGGAATCTTGCCTTCTCATGAAGTGTACAAATTATGATTGCTTCAGTTTTGTCATTTTTGCTTCTAGGAAAAGTTCAGGCTTGATTTGATCTAGGACTCACTTGTTTGTCCTTCTGGCAGGTCCAGGGTATCCATAAAGCTCTTGTCCAAATCTGCTGAGATATCAGCAAAACTAAAACTAAGCTTTCACTCTTCCAAACAAAATGCTAATAACCCTACATCTTGCTTCTAATAACAGCAGCTATATCCATGGCAAACAAGCTGTGTGTGACATACACACCTTGTTTTAAAAAAGGCTAATCACACTTCTGGAAGTGTTTTGAGCCTGAGAAACAAAGTACAGTACAGACGCACATCTCTCTCTCTCTCTCTCTCTCTCTCTCTCTCTCTCTCTTTTTGAAAAACATCAGGAAAAAGATCCAGCAGCAAATGTGGTGGTGGGGCTTTGGGAGCTGCAATAAGATAAAGGTTGGGAACTGCATATGGTGTACAAGCTACATATAGTCCATTCCTCTATGATGGATGAAGATGTGCAAGTTCTTGCATTAATCCTTCCTTACATGCTTCTCAACCTCCTTTCCATTACTCGACCCAATTCACCAACACATTGTACCTCCTTTAACCCGATATGGACTGAGATTGTTATGCTAACTAGTCTTTTCTATTCTGTCATGTTATACAAATGATTTTTAATCAAGATAAACCTAATTCTCTAAGAACTCCACCAAAGTCCATCTGAAACATGTCTTCAGCTATTACCTAATCTGAGGTCCAACTGCCAAAAACCTAATTTTAACTTGGGTTAAGAGCATCATATATAAGATGAATGCCCCTGGTTAAGCAGTTTTTTTAATTGCCCTTGGACTTTTCACCTATTAATTGTTGATCCTGCTTTTGACCTCCTATAAAAAGGAGCAAACAGATAAACTGCCCTACCTATTTGTATCGCTCACAAAGCCAGAATGAGTCAAGGAAAGTGCATACTGAATGGAAAGAACTAGTTACAAAAATCCAATCTGTAGTCTATTGCTTAGCAACAGACCATGCTATCCAAAGGAGCCCATCAACTTTTTTTAAAAAATGACAAATATCTCCCCCTTCTTGAAATAAAAACATCTCTTACAACAATAGGAGTATATTGGGATTCATCCTTAACCTTTCATCTAGAACAGTGGTTCTTAACGTGGGCGATAATGCCCCCCAGGGGGCGATTTCATTTTTCAGGGGGGCGGTAGA